GCCAACTCAGGGAGGCAGTGAAGGACCGGAAGGCCTGGCGCAATATGGTTGATGGGGTCACGAAGAGTCGGACACGACTTAACGACTAAACAACTTGTAGCAGGACTCTTAGACAGACATGTTCCTGGACCAAGGAAGCCCACAATGGGGTAAGGGGGACACTATACCACAAGACATTTTTTTAAAAAAGCAGACAAGTAAAAAAATGTTCAAACTCCATGGCCAAAAAACAAACAAACAAATAAACAAAACCCCTGGTTGTCACGTGTTTTTCACTCATACCAACCATTTAGTTAAACATAAAACACTGACATCTCAATCTTGATTTGCTGAGAAAATAGCTAACAAACTAAAATCACACTCTACCTGGCTCCAGTGATCCAAGGTTTTTGTAGATGTATAATCAGGAAAGATTGCGGTATATACATCCGCCCGACTCTGAAAAACAAAAGGAATTTACATTTTTAGAATGAGGGAATATATGAAAGGATTGTTTATTGTTACATTGTTGTAAAAAACAAACAAAGGAACAAAAGTCTGTCTCCCTACCCCACTTCCTCATACCCCAATTTTCAGAAATAAGTTCCACACAACTGCAAACAACAGGAAAACACTGCTGAAGTAATATGTGAGTAAGTGATATGCCTTTCAAAAGGCCTCCCCAAATGTTCACAATAATTTTTTCCTCCACCAAACCCTGAGTTTGTGATACTCACCTGAGGGCCTATACATCGACTTTGGCTCTTGTTTCTAACTCAATATACACTCAGTAACTTTTATACCTAACAAGCAATGGATATGTAGAGATGAATCAGACTGGTAAACTGTTTACTGGAGGAATATATTAATTACACTAAACTTATTACATTCATGGGAAATTGCAGATCAGGTGCAGGGAACCTTTCTGCATCCAGGAGTCACCAGACCTCCCCCCCCCCCTTTTTTCCCCATTTTTGGGAGGGTTGGAGAGGGTTTGCAAACTTGATGCATTAAGCCTATATAAGTGGTTATCCGTTTTAGCAACAGAGGATCAACCAGAAACAAAAATAACATCCTATAATTGATTGGTCTTACAATTTCATGAAATGTTGTCTGTAGAAGAACATGTGTAGTGTAATTATTTAGGTTTTGGACCAGACAAGGGGAAAATCTGCTCAAGTTGCCCTCAGCTGACAGATAAATTTGGGTTAATGATGACGTCTCCCTTCTATCTCACAGTACTGCAGGCAGGGCCATTAGCAGTGGGGGGCCGGGGGGCCAAGATGGAGGGTGTGACTGTATCTGTGTTGGGGTGGTAAGTACATGACGTTGCATATACTTACAAAGGGGTAGGACTTTGATTGCATAATTGTGCAAACTATCTTAGCTCCCTTAGCTTCCAGTTGTGTCACCCCTGGCTGTAGGCTCTGCTGAGGGAAGATCAGGTTCAACTTGAGTCAGGAATTTCAATGGTTAGCTTTAGGCCAATTGCTAACTTTTAGATGAAACCATCACAGGATTCTTTAGGGGGAGAAATACTGGCTCTTATAAATGAGATGATAAGTCTGATTGGCTGGAGAGAACCAATTACATCATTCGATTCTCTTTGGTGTTTTCAGTATATGGAATAGAAATTGCAATGGCTGATAGCAGAAAAGCTATAGCACTTCTGAATCCATTCAGGGCCATTTGTATTTGATACAGTGATCCAGATCAGGCCCTTGGCCTTGAATGGTTGGTTTGTACAACTCTTCATTGAATTCAATCTCTGAATCTACTCTTGGCACAGCCCCATTAATTTCCCTTTATCCTGAGAGAATATTTAGTGAAGTCTCCCACTTCTACATGTAAATAAGCTGGCAACTTTCAAACACTGAACTTAATGCAATATATTTTACTACTGTTGAAGGAGGCAACGAGTTTGGCTCCTACTCCTTCATCGCTACCTATTACCTTATTGGCCCCTTCAACCAACACTATAATTTTTTGGTCTATGATGTCAACTTTTCTTTGAAGACAGCCTCTCTAGACATTTACACAATTTTGCTATTGCAAACATAACCACAGGAAGAATTCATTTTCCCTCCATCTTTGCTTAGTTAATGTTCTAAGGAGACTGATTGCCTGAAACCATCTGTTTCAAGATTCTGTGCTCTAGTCATTAGACTGAGCAAATATAAACACACATAGTCCTTGTTTAGCAACTAACTCATTTAGTGACCTTTCACATTTATGACGGTGATGAACAAGTAAGCAAAGAAAAACTATAGCAAGATTGTAAGCACAGTCACGGTTTCACTTAGTGACTGCTTTGCTTAACGGGCAGTTGGCAGGTCCCAATTGTGATCGCTAAACAAGGCCTACTTGTATGGGTGGAGGAAGGATATCTTTAAAATAGAAGATGCAAATATCCTAGATTAATGTTTCTATTTCTTCCTCTCTTGTAAGGAGCCATGATGATGACATTGGAGAAAGCAGCCAGAAGCTGTTAGAAAAAGAGTAAGTGCAGAGGAAAGATGCACGTATGAGAAAGTGACTCAGTCTAATTCCCCACACCCTCCTTGACTCTATGGGGTATAAATGGGTGGAAGGGAAAACACAGGCAGACCTCCAAGATTCTGCTAAAGCAGTGTTTCTCAACCTTGAATTATGGGAGTTGAAGTCCACACATCTTAAAGCCACAAAGGTTGAGAAACACTGCTGTTAAAGTATAGTTCTAGTCTTCCTGTGGACTGTGGTTTCCTGATCTGGTCTACCTCATATAGCTGACACCTACCTCCTTTGTAGAAAGTTTAAATAAAAATAGAGCTTACTTACTGTATTTAGGTTTTTCTCATTATATCCTCCTGTAAGGAAAATGTTTTGGAGGCAAAGCTGGTCAATCACTGGATAGCTGCATGCATAGGTCAGGACGGTCTTTTGTCTCTCACTCACAAAGGAAAGTTCTTTAGTGCCCCATATTAGCTGTAAAATAAAAATGGCCCATGAATATGGGTGATTTTTAAATCACACTTATGTAATTCTGCCTAATGTGATCAGAAAAAACTTTGCAATTCCAAGCACATTCTTCCTCTTCCAACATGTACTTTACCTTCCCCATATTAAAGGTATCATTGGAAGTCCTTCTCCAGATTCCCTCCATACGATCCTTTTTCACACATTTCTACAATTTCACACTGTAGAATTCACAAATTCTATACATTTCAATAGAAATTCAGTAGAATTTTGCATTTCATTGCAACCAATTTGGGAATGACTACTTCTAAACAGGAAGAAAAACATGATGTTATTTTTGTTGTTTTTAATTCTGGCTGATTTTTATTGTTTTTATTCTGTTTCAAGAGTAAGCTGCCCAGAGTCACGTTCAGGTAGTCCTCGCTTAATGACACTCATTGGGACCAGCAACTCTGCCCCTAAATGAAGCAGTTGCTAAGTGGGAAATCATGTGACTGAGACTGCGCTTTCTGGCTGGAAAGAGACAAGAGCACTCAGTTTCAGACCGTTGGCTTTTGTTTGCTTCCTAACCACTCTCCCGCCCTTTGGAAAGCTGGAGTGACTGCTTACGGTCTTGTAAACATTGAAAGCAAAGCAACTGCATTGGCAAACCGGGGCTGGGAGCCACGGGTGTGCTATGCCAACAGCTTACAGTACTCTCCTGAAATCCCTTCTCCAATCTGTCTGTTCTGCAAGGGGGGGGGGGGGGGCGCGTTTGAATTCTATGGGAATTTCCCCCTTTGCCCCCCCCCTCCCCCCCCCCCCCCCTTGCAGAACAGACAGATTGGAGAAGGGATTTCAGGAGAGTACTGTAAGCTGTTGGCATAGCACACCCGTGGCTCCCAGCCCCCGCCTGCCAATTCAGCTGCCTTGCTTTCAATGTTTACAAGACCGTAAGCAGTCACTCCAGCTTTCAAAAGGGCGGGAGAGTGGTTAGGAAGCAAACAAAAGCCAACGGTCTGAAACTGAGTGCTCTTGTCTCTTTCCAGCCAGAAAGCGCAGTCTCAGTCACATGATTTCCCACTTAGCAACTG